AATCAAATTAAAAAATAACCTAGTTATAAATAACAGTAAATATAATTTGCATATAGAAAATGTGAATTAATTAAATGAATGTGATATATAGGGGATAAGCCGGTCAGAGTAACATCATATGTGTAATATCCTATACTGTACAGCAATGCCCACATATGACTACATTTAGTGAAAGTTCGGTTCCTATCGGATGTCAAAACAATGTTTATATTTATATGAATACAAAATTATGAATGAATTTAAAAAACAATATATTTATAGTAAAAATGATTGCATTTATATTACGAAAGATTAGGAAATACTGAATACTGTTCTAAACTTTGAGTATAAAAATAGCTCAACATTTTGTGTCACACTTTCAACACTTGACACTCACGTCAATGTCATGCGCACAACACAAGTGCTGTCTCTTCGCAAAACACGTTACTAGAAGTGACGGCGAGTGGGAGGAGAGGGGGAGGGGTTTGACTGCGTTTATACGTTGAGTGAATGAGTGTTGAGCGAAGGGATGGCTGGCATTGACTGGTAGTGGGTTTGGGAACGCGATGTGTGAATGGTATGGCATTTGAGCTCAATTTGTGGACTCATTTCTTTGGATGAATGAAACGATTGAATGAAAGCATAATTGAGTGTCTCATCGATGGCTTCAATGGATACCAACGATCAGGAGATGGACTGTCAGACAGATGTGAGCGAAGTGTTGCAACTGATCCACAAACCCATGCAAAAGGGAGAGCTGTGGTATCTGTTGGACAAGAAGTGGTTTGAATTATGCAAACTATACGTCAACGACAGGCAACAGGTCCACAATCCCGGACCCGTTGACAACTCAGGTATTGTTGAGCCCATCTCTTGCGTGACTTTCATCTAATGGTTTGTCTTTGACGGAAACGGTAGCGTTGTTTCAATCGATGCCGACGACTGAGCCGTGGACTCTTCGGGAGCGACTGCAGGAAGAGCTGGACTACCAGTTCGTGCCCGAAGAGGGCTGGCATTTGCTGGTGAAGGAGTTCGGAGTGACCAGCGATGAGCACGTGATCCGTCGGGCGGTGATAGAACAGGGAACCTATTCGGCCTATTGTATGGTTGAGGTCTATCCCATTGAACTCAAACTCTGCACCTATGGCTCCAAAGACGTGGACATTATCATCAAACACTTGAGTCGAGTGACAACATTGGCTCAATTGGAGGCCGATATGAAGAAACTGTTTTCAGTGGACGACACGAAAGACACCCAATTGTGGTCGAATGGGTCGGTACTGAACGCCCACAACGAGTTGTCAGAGCCCTCCAGTTCTAACGATAAGACGAATGACAACCAGAGTCTGAACGACGCCGGGCTTATCAGCGGAACTGTTGTTACTCTGGAGGTGCGCAACAGTGACGGCACGTGGCCTTCGAGTCGTCCCCGTTATGGAGTGATAGCGACGCGATCGTCGAAATGTGTTCCCGGTTTGTGTGGACTCATGAACTTAGGGAACACTTGTTTCATGAATAGTGCGCTCCAATGCCTGTCCAACACTCAGCCGCTGACTGAGTTCCTATTGAGCGATCAGTACTGGCAAGAGTTGAATACTGATAACCCGTTGGGAATGCGCGGAGAGATTGCCAAGAGTTACGCCGAATTGATCAAAGCGTTGTGGAGCGGATCCCATACCTGTTTGGCTCCCAGAGAGTTCAAGCTCTCTGTCGGACGCTTTGCCCCGCAATTCAGTGGTTTCTCGCAACAGGACTGTCAGGAATTGATGGCATTCCTATTGGACGGACTCCACGAAGACCTAAATCGAGTCAAACAGAAGCCGTACATCGAAGTGAAGACAGACGTCGATCTACGACCCGATAGTGTGATGTCCGCTGAATCGTGGGATAATTACAAGAAGAGGAATGATTCGATAATTGTGGACACATTTCATGCTCTTCTCAAGTCGACACTCGTGTGTCCCGATTGTAATCTCGTGAGCGTTACGTTTGATCCGTTTTGTTACCTCAGTCTACCCCTTCCCGTAAAGGTATATCTCATTACTCTTTAGTTTTACCATTTATTTGACCATAAGATCTAATCTATTGGTGAACAGCGCGAGCGTCAGATTGATGTGACATTTGTGCCGACATTAACGCCGAACCAACAAATAGACAATAATAATGAAACTCAGGAACAGCTAAAAGCCATCCAAATTACACGACTTAATATTCCGAAGTACGGAACCATTGCTGACATTTGCAATGCTGTGGCAAAAGCTGTCAACGATAGCTCAGTACTCAAGCATGTGGTTGAGTCCGAGCGTCTTGTTGTCACTGATGTCTACAATCATCGCTTCCATAAGATATTCGGTCGCGAAGAGTCCTATTCGACACAAATGGACGAAATTGTTGTTTACGAGGTTCAGGAGAACTGCTCTTCAGTGGCCGTGTATTTGCGTGAAGTAAAAGCCGACGAAACAACCGCTCTATTCGGCCGTCCATTCATTGTTAGCGTCAGTGACTCTAACTATGAAAACTTATACGAATCAGTGACACAACAATTGCGACGATTTATGAAAATCCCATTGTCTGAAGAGGAGTCCGATTCCGACGAAGGAGTGGCAGAGTGTGAGCGCACCGATCGGTTTAGTCTCACTTTTGTCAACTCTTACGGATCGCTAGATATTGAACGTCTCGACCGAACCAAACCCTTTGAATTAAATAACAGAAACTTCTTAGCCGTAGATTTGCCCACAAGAGTGAAGACCAAGTATTACAATGAGTCGGAAGTGGAGAACGCATACAAACTGGCGGTTCAGAAACAGGCGCCCAACGGACCCAAAACATGTTTGCCTCTCTCCGAATGTATCTCACAGTTCACGACAACCGAGCGGTTGGGTGCGGACGACCCCTGGTATTGTCCCAAATGCAAGAAACACCAAATGGCGTCCAAAAAGTTTGATTTATGGTTTGTTTATTTGATTCATTGCTTGATTGAACTTTTGATTTAATGGTCGTCTGTTTCTTTGATAGGACTCTTCCAAAGGTTCTAATAATACACTTAAAGCGGTTCTCGTATTCGCGCGTATATCGCGATAAACTGGATATTTTGGTTGACTTCCCGCTCCAGTCCTTAGATATGGGCGAATATCTACTCAATAACCCAAACAATGAATCAAAAATCTATGATTTAATAGCTGTGGCCAATCATTACGGAGGTCTCGGCGGCGGTCACTACACGGCATACGCCAAGAACTGTCACACCAAGAAATGGCATTATTTCGACGACTCGAACGTGAGTTTGGCCGCCGAAGACAATGTCGTGTCCAAAGCGGCGTACGTTCTCTTCTATCAACGCCGCGAATGATTGTCACAACTCTTATATTTAAACTAATTGTATTTATCAACCATTCAAATGATAAATTTATTTAATTCTATATTAGTTTCAAGTTTTAAACTCAAAATTAATATTATATTATTATTCAATCGCTTTTATTCACCAAAAACCCAATTGTTTTTACTTTATTTACATTATTTTAAGCCTAAATTTTAGTGTCAATATTAACATGAATTAAAATACGCTTTTGTTTTCAATAAATAGTTATTTGAATTTTATGACAATTGTGTTCATGTTTTGAAGACTCTTATATCGGACTTAATCACACTCGCAACAAATAGTTTGCCATGTTCAATTATAACCAATTATGAATCTTAAAGTAGTTATGTATCAAATATGGCAAACAATTTGATGAATAGAGAACATGGAATGGATTTGAATAAAAAAAGGAATAATTTGTGATCATTTCTATATACAGTAACAATTTTTTATAGAATGCACAATGTGTCATGTCATGTTGACTTATTTTTAAAGTTTTTTTCAAATGGCCAAGATGGAATTAGTCTAACTATTAGTTTTTTTTTGTAAATTATGTTAGCTTAGGACCTTCGGAGGCATTTTATTAGGGATTAATAGTTTACAGTACAATGGTTGTAAATATTACATTAAAAGGTTTGGCATTGCTCTAATCGATTTTAGTACTTTGTTCATGATGTTTGATTAAATATCGATATACAAAGTTATTAAATTGTATATTTTGTAATACATATTAAAAATATACATATTTTATATTATATAACTTAATTTTAGATTATATTATCGATTAACAGATTATTTAAAAGTTTCGCATAACTATAGATAAATAAATTTTATATAGAGATTATATAATGTTTTAAACTAGATCATCTGATCTTAACATGTTGAAACTAAATTCATATATATTGGCCTAATATTCTATGTGACAATATTTAATGTAGATTTAGTTTTAATTTTGATTCTTGTCTTTAATAGCAAAACCTTTTTATTAAAGGAACGTTAAACACACTCAATGAAAACTCAATGAAAACTAACATGTTAAATTAACATTAATTAGTATGAATAATGGCATTTTCCCAGTGCAATTTGCAAATATAAGAAATTATTTAATGATGGTATTTGTTAGGGAAAGATGTAAATCTATGTAGATTTAGTGTATTGGTAAGTGTGGTAAGTGTTCATGCATTTGATTTCGCAAACTGTTAATGAATTGAATAGTATTTTGAAAACTTTGTTCACAAATGAATTGTCAAATGAAATTCTTTGAATGAATTAAATGATATGACGATTGGTTGTGACGTATGGTTAGGATATGTATTAAAAACCGGTTGTGAACTAATGGTTAGGTTGTAGTAGTATTTGAGCGTTGAATGCTTATCCTTCCTCTCCTTCCTCCACAACCACTTCAGCACTACTTTGTCTGACACTTGTTCTCGAAGTAGAAATCATTTCAGTGTAATTGTATTACCGGTAAAACCGATCCCTTCCTCAAAAGTTACTTATATTTTATAACATTTATTTCAATCAAATTTGTCTCAAAAGTCTGTTTATCGAAAGATACGAAAACATCAGGTAATGTCAACTCATCGGCTAATTATCATTACATTAATGTTAACTTACAAATACTTTATCTTTCTTTCGACAAACAATCTGTCGATTTTGTTGAGAACCAGAATTGGTTTCAAGCGTTCAATCCATGCCTGTTGTAAAACACTGCGGGTCTGACTGCAGACCCCCTCCACCACATCCACCACAACAATACAGCCGTCGCACAGACGTATAGCCGTCGACACTTCGCCCGAGAAGTCCACGTGTCCGGGACTGTCCACAACATTCACCAAATATCTGTCATCACCTGTCAATCAAATACAATCAGTCAATCACTACAATTAGGGACTGAAGGGGACAACTGACCGGACCGGTAGGCAAGCGATATAGCGCTGCACTTCATGGTAATGCCTCTCTCCTGTTCGTCTTCACGACTGTCCAAATATCTCAACTTTCCGGCCATTCGTTCGGAGATAATACCATTGCTGGCGATCAACGAGTCAACTAATGTGGTCTTCCCTTCAATGCAAACAAAGTAATCAATAAGTGATGGTCGGCTCAACTCATGCCGGGTTACAAACCGTGGTCCACGTGAGCCAATACACACACATTGCGTATGCATTGCGCCCTCCCTTCCCGTGCGTCCACTTCTTCGCTCATTTGGTCCACCAGTGGTTCAATGGTTTGTAAATCACAATCAAAACACACTTTCAATTCAATTGAATGCTTGTTTCAAAAGTACTGCAAAAACACATGTCATATAAATGACGGCATATTTACGTTTGTATTGGCAATACTGTACACGCAATGCAATCGCTGTTGCAATGCATTCAATGCAGTCAATGCATGCATTCCTCTACACATGCATTGCATGTATTACTGTTACATAAGTTGGCATCACTTTATAAAGTTGACAATAATGTGCTGACAATGTGGTGTTAAATGATCATCATCTCTACATCATTCTATATTCACCTATTACATAACAATCTAGTTACAGTTAACATATTAGCTTAAATATATAGGACTATTTCGGTAATTTAGTGTACATTTACTGTATGAAAAACCCAATTTATTACCAATATTAAATTACCATGATATTACCATGATTAATTTTTTCATATGTTCAAAATAGAGCTAAATGATCAAGATTACATTAGTGCAATTACTGTGATATTGAAGTAATTTTATATTCATTATAAGCGATATATTTTTTGAACAATTTTACAACACTTACAACTAGTGTGACCACCTTTAGGTTTAAGAATAGAGAACATATGACAAAATTTCCTTTAAAATAGAGAACACATGTTTTATGTTAATTTTTCTTTTAAATTAAAAAATTGAGATTATTTAATAACAATGTTGACGTAAACTTTATTGTATTAGGTGTACAAAAACGGCAATTGTTAATCAAGAACGTGTCAAGTGCTTCAAAAGTTTCTTGAATCTTTCAAAAGTTTATTATTATATAGATAAATAAATATTTAATAAATTTAGTAAAATTCTTATCATTTATTATAACATTAAAAAAGAGAGCAGTTTTTTATTTTGTTTAAATACAGGTCGAAATAGAGAACTGTTCACAGGTGGTCACACTACTTACAACACTTGTTAGAAACTTGTAAAAACAAGACATGAACACTATATTTGATATTCTAAATTAGAATTTCTAATATTTGATTGCTTATGGTAAACTTAAATAAATAGTTACTTAAACTTTTACGTCAATTCTGTTCCTCAATAAATGAGTGAATAATTGAAGTATTTATAGAAAATAAATGAATTGCTATCAATTATAGCCCATAATATTGTATAACATTATATTTTACTGCTGCCACTCGTCCAAATTCCTAATTTATTAATTTATATACATGTATAATATATGATATATTCCTATAGAATGTATTGACTAATGAATTATGAAATTGGTGTTATAATAGAATTGCTAGTTTTGTACATATATCCAAATTTGCAAATTACTTCATAAGTTGTCCACAATTACAACTAACTCATGAATAATATTGTGTTCAACTATTTTTCATAATATGAAATACTATGCATATCAAAGCTCAATCAATACAATATCATGATTGATCATGGACAATCCAATTAAATATTCTTCAATATTTAATAACTATTATTCAACAACTTAACAAACAATATTATTTAAATACAAATATTCTATTGTATGATTATATGCAAATATAACTAGGATATAAT